ATTTTGTTAGAACTCAATGATTATCCTAATTATATTTTAGATTTTTTATATTTAAAAAGAGATGTTTATCTTGTATTTGATTATGTTTATCTGCAGTTAGTTAACGTTACACGAATTCAGATATGGAGCTTTAATAAGTTGTACTTACGCACAATCTACTTGTAATATCGAGTTTTAAGTAACATGCATTAATAAGCAGTATTTTATGCATAAAAAATGATTTTTTGAGAGTTTTTATCAAATGATTTATAATATGGTATAGATAATATAGGGGTTCAAAGTTCAAACGAAATTCAAATAAAAAACACGAGAAAACTTATATCACATATGATTTTATATTGAATCACATGTGATTATGGACGACTTGGTCAGGTCATGGGGCAAAGGTCGCTCACACACTTATATTGATCATATCTTGTAATCACATGTCATTTTATGTTGAAATCATATGTGATATAAGTGTTCTCGTGCCTTTTTGTTTTGACATTATTCTCGTTTGACCCCCCCTCAATGTATTATATATAGATCTTATATATATATATATATATATATATATATATATATATATATATATATATAGTCAGGTTCAGACAAAATCGTAAAAAATAAAAGCTAAAGTACATCCTGATACATGTTTATTTGGACGGTATGCACATGTTTATACAATTAATTTGCAACATGCATATGTGCATAAAAAAATAACAACTTCAATTACTTGTATGTATATGTGCATACCATCCAGATGACGCTTACCAGAGTATTCCTCAGTTTTTAGGGATTTCTCCTTGACCTCTCTCCCTCCCCCCCCCTCTCTCTCTCTCTCTCTCTCTCTCTCTCTATATATATATATATATATATCTTGTTATGCGCTTAACATCTAAATAATTGATTCTTACACAATATAACATGATGGTTAATTTGTAATATAACAAATGTCGTTTTCTTCTGAGTTCATTGCTACGTATTAATTGTCAGATTTTATTTTCGTTGTACGCCATGGGGAGAATGGAAACGATCTGGGGTGATGATAGCTTGGAATTCAAACCGGAGAGGTGGATTACTGACAAACAAACAATACGACATGAGCCATCATACAAGTTCTTGTCCTTCAATGCTGGTCCACGGACATGTATCGGAAAACATGTAGCCTTCACCCAAATGAAGGCCGTAGGTGCAACCATTTTACACAACTACGAGTTTGAAATGGTCAAAGGTCATGTTGTAGCTCCTAACGTTTCGATCATTCTCTACATGAAACATGGCTTGAAGGTTAGGGTTGCACCAAGATGGCCTTGACCTAGTGTCAGTGGTGGTCGGTTTTTATATCATCATATTTACTGTTTTTTGCAACATAATTGTCGTTTCTGGCAAAAAAAAGGACAAAAATAAATACTTTATTTTGAAAGAATTGTTTATTTCAAGCAAAGTATGATGACGGAGATGGAAAAACAGTCTAAAATTATCCGGGTTTATTGACCAGAAAAGTCAAAAAAAATTGATTTGAAATCAACCACCCGTCAACGTTAGTAAGATATTAGGGTTTGGTAAGAGTTAATGTGTGGAATCTCTGGAATATGTTATGTATAATAACTACGTGTTTAATGAAATCAACCTTTTATTATTAATTGTATTAGAATACTTTGGGGTTGGTTTTAGATATTGATTGATTTGTTGGAAAATATTTAGGGGTTGTTTATCAAATACTTACCCGGTAAACGTTTATGGGTAAAATTTAACACTATCATTTACTTATCGGGTAAGATTTTAGTCCACAAAAACGACATCGTATGCAACAATTTACCCGCTAAGCGCTTACCGTAGTAAGAGTCGTCGATCTCACTTACACGTGTAAACATTTGGTAAACGGCCCCTAAATTTGTATTATTTAATGTTGGATAAAAAAATTGTTTGATAAATGTTCTGATAAACTGTCTTAATGACGAAAAATTAGCATGTTAACCTTCAAATATAAGTGCTTGCATGATAGATGTTCTAAAGTAATAGCTTATTTTGAAAATATGATATATACTTTCTTGAATATAAATTTAACATATAATGCTTTTGTAAACGTAAATTACATTCGTAACATTACTTGTTTAAAGCATAAAGAAATGCTTTCATGAACATAATAAAAAAAGTAATTGTGTTCAATTATATATATTTTATTTATGAACATAATAAATGAATCCAATGTTTTCATTTCCATATGAAATATATATATATATATATATATATATATATATATATATATATATATATATATATATAAATAGAATCATCTGAGGGGTCGTTTGGTTCGTGGAATTCGAAGAAATTTGAGGGAATTGAAATGACAAATTTCTTTGACTAAATTTCAATTCCTTTGTTTGGTTTATTTCTTGAAAGGGATGAAATTCTTCAAATTCCATTGAATTCTACAAATTAATGAATTCATCATTACTTGGCATAATGGAAGGAATTGAATTCCCTCACCACACGCCACAACCATGCTACTATTGTTCGTCATGCCCCACCGCTGACCCCCCACCACCACCACACCACTACTTTCGCCNACACCACTAACCCCCATATTATTGTTGTCGCCTTCACAACCGCCACTCTTCCGCACCTCATCCTACCCCAACCCACCACCAAAAAACCATGCCACTATTATTGTCGTCATACCCACCCACTCTCAGGCCCCAGCCACCCGACCACTATCCCAATCACAACTACCACCCCGCCACCTATCCCTACCCAACCCATTGTCCCGCCCCCACCCCGCCCCACCTTACCCTACTCCAACCCACTACTAACCACGATCCTACCACTATAGTCCTCACAGCTACCACCCACTACCCCACTCTAGCCCACCCCCACCACCTCGCCCACCCTGCCTGCCCCTAACAACCCCCACCTATGGAGTAGGGGTGAGCAAGAGTGGTGGGGGAAGGGTTGGGATGGTGGGACAGGTTTTGGATAGGGGTGGGGCAGGGTGATAGCTGTGACGGCAACAATAGTGACATGGTGGTTGGTAGGGTGTGGGCAAGGCGATGGGTGCGATAGTGCAAACAAAGACGATTGTTCTAATTCTTTTGAGAGATTTTATTCCAATTTCTACCAACCAAATGCGTGGTCAAATTTCATTCCAATTTCTTCAAAGTCAAATTCCTTTGATGGATTCCAATTCCATCAAATTTCATTATGTGAACCAAACACCCCCCCCCCAAAGGGTCCATTTAGTTTACAGGAATGGAATGGATTTGGAGGGATTTGGATTTCAAATCAATTGCAGTCCATGTTTTGTTTGCAAGATTGTTCGGATTTGAAATCCTAGGATTTATTTGATATTCCTCAAACATATGATTTTGAAATCCCACAGGAGTGGTTGGGATTTCACGAGATTTCGTAGAATTTCTATATAATAATGTTTTATAATTTGTCTAAAACACTTGTTTTCTAATAACTCATTAACAAAAAGATATTTCAATTATTTATTATTATTTTTTAATAAATTATTTATAAAAATGGAATTCCATTCCATTCCAAATTCATCACACCAAAAATTCCAAATCCTTCTATGAAATCCAAATCCCTCAAAACCATTCCATCAAACCAAACGACCCCTAAGTACAACGTTTTTTACTCCAAACTATCCCTCTTCCCCTTTTATTCCATGCCTTGCAATTGCAGTCAAATTACCCTGATCAAATTCCTAGAAGACAAAGCATAAGGAAGCCAAATATCTACTGACATCAATCTATCCACCTTTGATACTCAAAAGTTCTCAACCTATCCAACTTCCAAAGAAAGAAAAAAACCTTGTTTTTGCCTCTTTTTCGATGACAACATGGAAACAAATTGGGTTTCTTCTTGTTTTATGATCCTGGTAATGAGTTATAAGGTAAAAAGGGGAGGGATCTAACTTTCAAAATGTTGTGATGGTTATGTGTTTTCGGAATGTACCAGCATCATCGTCTTCTCTCATCACACAACAGGTGAATCATCGTCGTCTTCTCTTAATCTGTACAATCCCCTCTCACTGTTTTTCTTTTCGATCTTCTCTCATCCTACTTACATTACTTGTTTTCTTTTCAGAAAACGTAACTTTTAACTAACATTGTAGATTTGAAATGTAAGTTAATCTATAATATGCAGTGAAAGATCTTTAGACTAATGCTTCTTGCTTTTTTGAATTTTCAAGTTCATTCCCTGATGGGGTGTTGCTATTGAATTTGGAAAAGATCCACAAACCACTTAGTCACTCACTATGAGTTCATGTTCTAATTTTTAGTGATCAAGTTGGCTGCTTTTTTAATACAAATGGCTTAGGCATACAAATTAGGTACATCGCCCTAAAATGGCCAAATTAGCAGACTCCTAGGCATGCTTTTATAGCTGAAAATTACCACCAGGCTCATTATTCTCTATAAAAAGAAAAAATGATATTGCGACAAACGTGCTAGGGGTGTGCTCACAAGATATTCAATTTATATATGTGTTACGGAGATGGGAGGGGTCAACTGCTGATGGTTGAGTGCTTCGAGATGCTCTCCTTAGGCCTCATGGATTAAAAGTTTCAAGATTGGATATAGATTTTGATAGTTTACTATATATTAACAAGTATAAGTTTTGATGGTTTATTAACTCAATTTAATATTAGGTTATTACATGGTTGATGTCGGATACACAAATGGAGAGGGTTTCTTAGCTTCTTATAGGGGTCAAATATATCATTTAAATGATTGGCGTGATGGACACCAACCAACCACTGCCAAAGAATTTTTCAATACGAAGCATTCATCGACGAGAATGTTATTGAACAATGTTTCGGTATGTCAAAGGCAAGGTGTGGAATCTTAATAGATAACTCGTATTATCCTATTGATTTAAAAGTAAGGATCATTATGGCATGTTGTCTCCTCCACAATTTTATAATGCAAGAAATGCCAGTAAATCCACTTGACAATGAAGGTGAAGTGGATGAGGGAACCGGAGACCTTGGAGTCGAAGACGGGGATAATATAAATATTATTGGTACTTCAAATGAGTGGACTGCATTTAGAGATACTTTAGCTCAATATATGTTTGCTTCTTGGAATGCTACCAATTAATATGTATGATTCAAATGTTTGTCTAACTCATACTTCTAATGTTTGTTTAAATCTAATGTTTGTTTATAATGAAAATTATGGAGTTTGGACATGGATAATTAATGTTGTATTTTAAATGATTCATTTATGTTTATAGGTATGACGAGTCAAATTAGAAATTATCAAGTATGGACGAATATTGAAGAAACAAAACTTGTTGAAGCTTTAGTTACCATGGTGAATACGGGAGCATTTAAAGCCGATAATGGCTTTAAATCGGGTTATTTAACTTATCTTGAACAAGCGTTAAAAGAATCTTTGTCGGGCTCCGATATTTTAGGAAAACCAAACGTTGAATCAAAGTTAAAAATAATGAAGAAAGATTGGATTGTTGTGCATGACATGATAAATGGTTCATATACTAGCGGCTTCGGATATGATAGTGTAAAACATTGTGTGGTTGCTGAAGACCAAGTTTGGGAGTCGTATCTTCAGGTACAAGCTAAAAAAACTTGTTATTTATATTTGCGTAAAATATAATTATAGTTATATGTATATTTATGTTATTCTATTATGAAATAGGTCCATAAAAGGGCGGGAAAATGGAAGAACAAAGCATATCCTTTTTATGAGGATCTTTGTATTGTATGTGGAAAAGATTGGGCTCAAGGAAATAGAGCAAGATATTTTGTTGAGGTGGAAGAAGAGGTGCGTATGGAAGATCAAACACAACACATGAATGACGAGTCTGATGATGTCTTGGCAACTAGCAATGTTCGAGGTGACAATGCAAACATGCAATCTGGCTAAATGTGTGGTTTTGGAAGAACAATTTGGTGGTTAAATTGTATTTTGGATTATAGATTTATTGGTTAAATATGCATTTTGGATGAATAGATTTGGTGGTTAAATATGAATTTTGGATTAATAGGTTGGTTGAATATGCATTTTAGATGAACAGGTTTGGTGGTTAAATATGCATCTTGGATGAATAAGTTTTGTGGTTAAATATGTATTTTGGATGAACAGATTTGTTGGTTAAATATATAGTTTTGAGAAAATGAATGATATACACTTTTGAAGAAATTGATATAGAAAAGGTAATTTATCAATAAAAAAATTATTTATAAAACAAATAAATAATTACAAAAAAAAAAATCTCAATCCAAATCCTACAAACCAAAGATGACTTATAAATGAATGGATTTTAAATCTAATTCAAATCCTTCGAAAACAATGATGCAAACCAAAGATTTGATGTTATCGCAAAAAAATTAGAAGTGTAGAGAAGCCATCATGTTAAGGTGATTATCCCATCAAAATCAATACCCAAATAATAAGACAACAGCAATAATAATAATAATAATAATAATAATAATAATAATAATAATAATAATAATATTATTATTATTATTATTATTATTATTATTATTAAATAAATAAATAAAGGGGAAAAAACAACCATAATTGCAGCAGCACCACCAATGCTTAATCAATGGCTACCATCAATCAATTAACATTTGAAGCCCCACATTGCAATTTC